ATGACTCTCAAAAGTGACATAAATTCTGCTGTTGTTTCGCTTTGATGAGAGAAATTCTTTCTATCTGGACGAAGAGAATAGTGTATTGGAGGAGTCTGCATCCATGACTCCTTGAACATGCAGCAAGAATCATCTACATGCCAGCATATTAGTTTAAGTAAGAATTTCCACTAAAGCAACCTCCACCGGCTCACGGCCGGGGGCCATTCATACGAACACCGGCTGGACAACCTGCTCAGTTAGGAGGTTGGAGTGGTAGCTTCTTTCTCATCGATGCACGCAACGGATCAGTCTTAGAAGGATGGTGTTGATTACAGAGTGACTGGAAAAGAATTTCTCTAGAGTCTGAGTATTCAATGTGACTGATCTACACTTCAGACAAAGGATTATGATGGTCGCTTTGTCGTAAGTTGTCCATAGCCCATGTCGATTCAAAGCCGATCCACACGAGTGGATTCTTCTCAGGATCTTGGTTCCTACTGGCAATCCCTCTCATTCTCATCATTCACGGTGAATTTTAAATAAGCATTTTGAAGACCGCTGGCCTCCTCCTCGCTTCAAACTCAGATGTAATAATCTTCCTCAGTGGCCTGCGACACGCAGAAGAACATCGTCTGGAGATTTATCAGCTTTCACGTAAAAGCACCACTTCTGCTACTTTCTATTCAAAGCATTTTCAAACTGGCGGATGCTTTGGCTGGGTTGTGTTGATTTTACGTTTTAATGTGGAATAACTGCAGCAGGGACACGAAGTCTATTACAGCTGTCTCTCAAGATCCGCGATTACACACATGTCATTGGGAAGTTGATGAACGATCAAAAGAAGCGGTTGTGCACCAATGCGAAATTCCGAGCTTTGGCTTCCCTCGGCTCCTCCCTGAGACTTGTGAGGGACATGCCATGAAGACAAGAGACCAAACCGTCATGGAAAGATGCAACCAAAAAACTATCAGTAAATTACTCATGGAATATCTCTCTGAATTCCTCGCTTAACGTCCAAGGTTTCATTGAAGATTTTCTGCATCAAGCTGTGATTAATTCCATGATAAGTGCAACCCAGCCACCCAGAAAAGTGTTCTAGAGGAGTATCCCAAACGAAACAAAGATGTACGCCGATTACTTGATTACTTGTAATGAGCCAGTTTAGCATTTTAGAAAACGGTGCTTTTCTAGTCTACGTTAAGTCAAACTAAATGTCGGATATCTGCATGGTAGGACCACATCCAGTGTTCAAGTTGTTGACTTTCCTAACCTGGCACTCGCAACACTCGTCATGAATTCAAGCATCGCAGATCTCCTCGGTCAGATTGTTTGGCCTGTGATTAGAAAGACATTGCAGTTTTACGTTGACTATGGTGCAGAGTTTGTGAGAAAGAAGTAAAGAAGTAAGAATCGGAATGAGTTCTTAGATATGTGACTGCAGCTAGCTAGATTTGTTGCGCCCAATCTGTCGTCTCTGCTGATTTTCGTCTGAACAGGGTGCTCGGTACAATTTGTGAAACAATCAGAACAATTTATCTGCTTTTTCTTGAACTGCTGTCAGGAGTGACAGATTATGTGATCAAAAGCAGCGTAATTGTCTGCTGTAAATTCTATGCGAATGGGAGTTAATTACAAAAGGATTGATCTAGAGTCTGCAGTAGTAGAGGTCCACAAGTTCTTACATGTGCGCACGCTGAGATCAGGTACGGGAAAGTCTTCCTGAGTACACAATTTGAGACATTTCGCTCGCTGAAGCTAGGGAATTCTAGGCAATTCTTTCTAATCGTCGTGCCTGGCAAGGCAGTGCCGACTCGCAGAAAGGGCAGCAGACCTGTTTCTGGTGGCAAGATTGATGATGTGGTGAGGTTTGAACTGGTGAACAGTCTGTCATCTAAGCACCACGAAATCATTCTGCTTCTTTCTGTATTCAGGTTCATTCATTCTAAGTTTGCAAATTTAACAAAATTATCCGATCCAACTGGACTCCCAGAAAGTCAAAACAAGAAAATGTGTGAAATTATTCGAGAGACGTTTTTAGTTTCCACTATAGCACTTGGAGTAAATCTCTTCTTGAGCACTGCTCACTTCAGTAAGTTGCAGGTCATCGACCACCACTTACTCCAGCAATGCATCGACACTGATTTGACTGTAGACAATGGCACGGATCTGAGAAAGTGCATAGTGGAAAATATACACGTCTCATGACAGGGTCGGGACTATTGCGCTTTCTCAAAACACTTCCCTGTAGAAGATCTAGAAAGCCACTCCAGGTTAAAGGAGGTATTATTCAGGCGAAGCTTGTCGTGAACTTCTTGCTCGGAATTGCAACTACAGCCCAATTGGAACAGGGAAGAAATGTGCAGCACATTCTCCTGAATCCATGTTGTCTTCAAATTTTCTAACTAAGTTTTCTTAGGAGATGGCGTGACCAAGTAAAATATGATCGGATGCTGAGCTGTCTTCCCAATGTCCATTCACCATAATGAGACAAAGGCATCGGAAATGATTTAGACAGAGTAAGAAATCCATAGCTTTTGTGACTGGGTCTTATGGACTATTTGGCTAGTCTACTACAAGGGTAGTCCAGGGAGAACTGATACCGAACATGGTCCGCAGCCATCTGGAAAATAAGTTTCATGGACAATTTGAAACTGTGGCGATCTTCTTCACGTGTACTCAGACGTCTAGAAAATATGATTCATCGACCATTGGAAACTGTGGCAATCTTCTTCATGGGGTTTATGAAATTTGGATTTGAGAACGTTGAGGTACTCCGACATGTCCAGATTGCGCACGGCCAACTAGAGTTGTATATGAGTTAGCACAACTTTGAATACAATTGTATGAAGTGAATTCAGCTGCTGGACTATGACTCGTTCCTGGAATGTTTTTCATTGCCGGGCAACTAGAGTTATTTGTACACTGAATAGAGTCACAAGGCCTGAGAAATTCGTTCGCATCCCGTATGGACTCTGGGAGCAATCCTGAGAGGATTCAGCAGAGCAACATGCGTCCCGCTCGTGGAGAAATCGGGGAGCGGACACGAAGAGGCCTCCGTGAGCTCCTCGGCTGGATTCTCTTCTTCCTCCGCTGCCTTCTGTACTGGCACCTCCACGGCCTCTTTCAGGTCAGTTTCTGCGATTGAGATACTGCTCACGGCGTTGGAAGCGCTCGCTCTGGAGGTTCCGTGCACGGAACCTCCAGAGCGAGAGATGTTCAGCTGTACAGATTCATGTGATGAAGGCACGCGTAATGCAGGAGAGCCATGGGTAAGGCGAACGGTGGAAAACGAGCAGGATGCTATGCCTGAAACGGGAATTGCTTTCGAGGACCATGTACGACGTGAAGCTAACGCCGCACCGCAGCTGCTGCCGCCTACGAGCGAGGCAGCCATCGTGATTTCCCCCCACTATTTCTCCAAATGCTTCGCTCCGTGATTGAATCCACCGTCTGCTTCCAAGCACCTCGATCGTGCTCTTCCCAAAAAAGTCTTCCTCCTTTACACGTTATATCGTTACAGAATCTTATGGAACAAATGCTCGACGAGAAGTCGCGAAACAGTCAATTGAACTGTACAGGATCCCGCAGATCAGGTCGAATTAAGAAGGGAGCAGCCGAATATTGTGAGCATTGGTCGTGACATTCGAAAAGTACTCATTCGACTCCCGGACGCAACGAATCTCTAAAGCCACAGCCAATTGAAGCACGTCGCAGAATCGCCTCAGGAAGCCAGGCCAGTAGTGTTGGAGGCACAACATCAAAGGGCATGCACCAGACGCACTCGCGCTGGTCGAATTAAGAAGGGAGCAGCCGAATATTGTGAGCATTGGTCGTGACATTCGAAAAGTACTCATTCGACTCCCGGACGCAGCGAATCTCTCAAGCCACAGCCAATTGAAGCACGTCGCAGAATCGCCTCAGGAAGCCAGGCCAGTAGTGTTGGAGGCACAACATCAAAGGGCATGCACCAGCGCGAGTGCGTCGTTTGCATTCTTCCATACAAACAAATTAATACATATATTTATAATATTTCAACAATTTTACTTCTAAGAATGTTTTATTTTTCGTATGAGTACATCTCTGAATACGCTAAATGTATATAGTGTAATACGGGTATGGCCTGCCTCAAAATATTTTGCTGTGTCTCCAATCCTATAGGCCAGGAACGGATACTCGGCGACGACTGCGTTCGAGAATTCTCTTGTTTTGCTCGCTGGTGTGTGGATCAAAGGATCCCTCCCGTCATCCTCCCGAAACTCCGAGCCCGCATTCCCCACCGTCTCCGACTAGAGTTGGCAGCCTGGGGACGAGGGCGACGTGGAGGTTCGCTGGGGACCCTAGTATCCTTCGCGGATGAGGTCGCTGATACTCGCTCCAGTTAAAATTGAAAGCACTGCAAATTAGTTGCCTTCTTAAACTATCTCGTGTAGTCCCTACTCACAGAATTGGATATGTTGAATCACCTCGAAATTGTACTTTACCCGACCGTGAATGGTGACTAGCCTTGGAAGACACCATTTCCGCACAGCTTGAGTAACTAGTTTGTCTTAATGGTCTTGTTTGCAGTCCATCAAATTGGATAGTTTATTTCGTAAATCTCAAGAGTAGCCCTATGTGGGCTACGTGGACCCCGACGACATAGACAGTGGTGAGGCAATCTGTGAAGTACTGAGGACAGATCGTCCTGATGTGACTGAGGACGTTGCTTCGTCACGTTGTGGATCTGAGGAGTATCAGTATGTTAGACATCTGTAAAATTGTTTTCGTCTACCTCGACAACCTGTTACCTGTCATATCTCGACAAGCCTCAGGTCTAAGATATATATCCAAGATCCTGAGACGATAATAGACGACTTGTCTGGCATCTATATGGGTATAGATGCCAGACAAGAACTAGCCGCTCTCTACTGCCTGGAAGTGCACTGAGCTTATCTCGTCTCATGTAAAAGTTGTACAGGACAACAGAGTATTCAACAGAGAACTCAGAGAAACTCCTCCTCACAATCGAGCACTCCATGGGAGATAATCTTCACAATCAATGTAAACTTTACTGAAGAAATATGGCGCAGCTGACATCACAAACAGACGCCGCCAACCAAAGTGGGTGTGGCAATTTTCTCCTACATGCGGTCGTTCGGGCCTAAGCTGCGAACTAGAAAACATGAAGGGGAACCTTCCTCAGGAACCCAGCAACTCGACTCACGGGTGAATTCAAGTGGAAACGAAACCGTATTATTATAATCCTGGACTAGGATTGCACAATGAAAGTACTGATATGAATCCGATCAGCAACCAGCTCTTTGTATTGTTCACACAGTGTTTCTTCAATTGGTCAGAACCTAGGGATAAGTAGATCATCGTACTCCAAACGCTGAGTGATATCTCGTGGTCTTATGAAAAGCTCGTCCGGCCCAGTAACTTTACTTTCCCCTTCTGTCTGCGTCCGACTGACATGTGAAATTCACGCTGCCTCGTCTGCTGTTATCTGCTTCAGTTTCTGCAGAGCTGCACGTCCAGGACAATGCAACATTCCCACTGTAAGGTAATTGTGTGAAGCTAGAGAAGTACCGAAAACCAAAACAAAGCAAAGACAGCATAGGTTCGAAAGTTCTGAAAATATCACGTCATTGCATTGGTCCGAAGCAGCTATACGATTGAGTACAATATCAGACACAGGTGGTTATCTAGACAGAGCTGCCTTCAGCCCAGAAAGAAAACCACACCCTGTGTGAGACGCGTACCTTCAGTGTAAGACTCATAAAGCTCCTCGGTGACAGATGACGGCAGTGAATAATCCTGGCACTTGCTATTGTCGACTTTCTTCAACATCTGTTTGAAGTGTCGTACCTGCGCAAACATCCCCAGGTTTACAGATCAACACACATAGCGGGTTAGATGACTGGAGGCCGTTATGCACAACCGGAAAAACAAACACAACAAGACGATGGTCTGCGCTGAATAAGCCAGAGCAACATGGGAGGAAGCGGATACAGCGCTATTGAACTTGTTATATGGAATGTAGATCAAACTACTTTGTGGTTTATGCATGTTCAGAAAGCGAACCTCCTCCTTCCGAAGAAGAGTATAAGAGCTCCCGGGCTGTCCGGCTCGAGCAGTGCGCCCAACACGATGGACGTAGGTCTTTGCGTACACAGGCATATCATAATTGACAACGTTTGCAACACCTTCCACATCCATACCCTTGTCATCGCATCTGAGGCAATGAGCACTTGTGCCTGGCCATTCCGGAATTTTGCCAACGCTTTACTGTAAAGCATGATATAGAGGCAAGTCATCAGGATTATTGAAGCCAGCTACGAATGTCGGATAACAAACGAACGGAACCGACTTGGATATTCATCCCAAGATCAATAAATCAGAAGAAAGAGGAAATAACCTGCGACTTAGAGGTCTGTATGTTTAAAAATATACTTATTAGTTATTTGGTCTACAAACCCCATCAAGAGCACACACGTCTTGGACAAAACTGCGGGGTTGTTGATGCTGCAAGCTTGAGTACTCAACCACCTTGACAATCCTTAGTAGCATTTTAGCAGAGTATATAGTCGATGAGTAGCCACTACAGAAGCAGTGAAAACAATGGTTGTTTGGCTGCAAAGCTGTTGTAAGAGTGCTACCAAATATAAGGGCTTCTCTCCCGGTTTGCAGACCTGCAAAGATGTTCAGGACAACAATTTCTGTTACGGATCATGCGATGCAGGTTTGAACAAACACAGGCTCCAAGGCTACGTGAACTAAATTGAGTCAGCAACAAGTTATGGTGGCAACGTGTGTGAACAGAGATACGAACCATCCTGTAAGACTTAAGTTGTGCTGGTAGTTGATACCGGTTGCCAGCAGCGACATATATGGGGCAGAGAAGACCAAGTTGTGCAATTTTTGCTGGATCTCTCGTCAAGGTAGCCGATAACACCATCTTCATCAATCGTGGGAGTGCAGTGCCTCTATTTCCTCTTCCACCACGGAAAAAACTCACGAGAAATTGTAGGTGCTGAAGAGTGAACCCTTTCGTATTTCGAATATGGTCCATCAAGCGCCCTGGAGTTGCAACAAGTATGTCATCCTGGTTTTCGGCAAGGTCGGGAGTTGCAGCCTCAAATTTTCGAAAACTGTGGACCATCGACTTACGAATCTGAACCAATTCAGCCGCTTCAGCTACAATTGACGTTTGTCCCACAGCTAGTCCCACTGAGAGACCAACTGCTGGTGCGATGGTGTCAAAGACTGCTTTAACCTGAAGAGACGCGATTACGAAGGTTTAATGCCTTAAGAGAAGCTTGAGCGGATATATAGGAACTGGAAAGCCAGCCAAATATGGGTACTAGAGGTTACATAACAATAAAAGCCATCGATTAAAGTAGCGCTAACTCCCTGGTTTTCACGATCTTGAAATGTCCTGTACAGAAAATGGGCAGAATCTTTGAAGCACGTGAACAAGGAATTCCAAACTTTGATACATCAGCATGGATTTCCTTTCTATCTCATAGTTGTACAATCAAATAGTAAACATAGACCCGAAATAGGAGAGATTCTCAACATAAAGACCATCCAAACTACATTTCAAAAGAACCTCACCTGCGCAGCTAGATCCCTGGTCGGGAGCACTACGAGAACTCGAAGAAGACGAATCACCCGAGACGATAACTTTTGGACGATGGGGAATGCGTAAGATAGTGTTTTGCCATTGCCTGTTGGCGAGCTGACACAGACGTCTCGCTCGCTTAAACCAGGGCCCACAGTCTCGTGCCACACGGCCATCTGTACTGGAAACAACGACTGTATTCCTGCCTTCGAAAGCATCTTGAAGTCTGCAATGTAACTCGAAACGCACCAAGAATCATCGGCTGGACATCGAGACAAACTTCAAGTGCTGGGCAGATAAAAGATGATTACAAACGGACGGACGGCAAGGCTACCTGGTGTCCAAGCCAGGCACTTGTCTCAGGGAGGTGGCCTTGTAGGTATCAATATCAAGCATCCATGGCAACACCGGCCCGTGGTCTTGCGACTCTGCTGGAACCAAAATAACATCACGACCCATGATTCTATCCACATCCCTCTCAATTGTGGAAATTCAGGTTCATTCCGAGAAGTATCGTCCGCTCCGAGTGCGTTCAACTCGTCAGTGTTCTCTGTAATTACATGCTCCTCCTCCTCATCCGGAACCCCTAGGGACTTACTGTTAGGCTCCTCTTCATTGATCTGTTTCCAAGGGCCACCATCTGCAATCACATCCACCTTTTCAGACAAATTGTGAAATTATGCATCTCTTTCTCGATCACCGGTTGAGGATATGAATGAATAAAGATAATACTGAGACTGTGCAAAAATGACTTACTTCTCCAGATACGCCTCTTGCGTTAACGAGTTCATCACCTGGTTCCAGATTGCCCCCTCTTCGTATCTTCAACTTCTTTTCTTTCTTTCGTTTCTTCTCCAATTTGGACACTTGAAATTCAACCAGCTCCGGGACACTTCTGTCGATGTCGGCTGCAGAATTCTCTTCCGCTCGCTCTATATTATCTTCACTTGTTAAAGTATCGTTCACCTTCCTTTCCTGTTCTTCCGTTCCAGGAGAAGCAGGAGCTTCCAGAGCAAACACATGTTCTTCAGTCGTATCCGAGACTTTCAGCTTCTTGAGCTTTTTGACCTTTATAGCAGAATCAGGAGCTTCCTGGTCAATCAAGGTTGCCAATTCTGCCTTGTGTTTCTGATGTTGCTATCGCTTTTTTCGCCCAGTATGAGGTTCAATTTCGCTCACTGCATTAGATTCTTCCTCAACCACAACCTCTGAGGCTCCCTCCTTGCTTTCATCTCTACTCAGTGCAGGATCAGAATTCTTGTTCGAGACGTTCTCCCTGTTACCTGGAGAAGAACCTTCCGCTTTCTCTCTAAGCGGAAGCAGAGCAGCCCGCTCCCGAGCTCTGGCATTCAAACGATCTAATAGTAATGGAGATCCACGCTTCCGACTTTCTCCTCCCAGCCAGCGCTCCACCTGAAACATCGTTGCCCCCTAAACAGCAGGCAAGCATTTAATCTTCAGGGCAAAATTGCTCGCGCACATCTAGACAAACCATGTGACAAGAAAACTGAACCCTTCTCACGAATCTCTATCACACAGACGTCCCGTACTGCTCTGCGCCAAGCTCCGCAAAATGTCCGCACGTGGAGCACATGAATAATCTGATGTCTACTTCACTGACAATTTCGAGACGTGATCCGAGCGTAATCGGAAAAAAAGTAGCAACGACATGTTTTCAGATTTCAGAGAGGCCTTGACTGCATCCCTACACAGGTTCGGGGTTTAGGGTTTAGTTTACAAAGTTGGAAGAAAACGCTACACAAAGGTTAGACATTAACCCCAGCGTGGTAAGTTAAACAAGGTAGCCTAATTAGTGTATGCGTAAATTCCATTCTTCAGATTAAGAGTATTTAAAAAGCGGCGATGATTGAGGGTTAGGGTATCAGACTATATGATCACAAGAATTCGAAACGCACAATTAGTTTGCAGTAGGTCTTGGAGAATCAACGCAGCTGTATGTCATAACTTGTAAAAAATCTGATATTTCATGGATCAAAGATGAATTATTATATATTTGATTGGTGATCATTATTGAACTCGAATTAGTTCACATCTGAGTTAATTGTCATTATTCGTCGCTGCAGCTCTCCACAATAATCGCTTAATTCCTCGTTTTTTGTGCGCGCTAATATGTTTTAGAGTCAGTTAAAAAATCAAGCCGGCACTATTCGATGTATCCACACTAATTTCTCGCTTGGTCCCTAAAGTTCTCTCTTCCCAATCAATCTGGCAGTCTATAATTGCAAAAAAGAGTACAGTCAAGATGGTTATGCGGGCGATAAGGTTTGTGTCCAGATAAACTACAGAAACTATGAAGAAGTGTTTCGTACCAAAATTGATACGTAGAAGTAGTCTAATTGTAGTTGCAGTTGAAAGTGTGAAAATATACGTCGAAAGGAAGCAAAGGCGCAACTCGAGCAGAGTCGACAACTTAGAAGAACCTTTGCGCGGTCTCTTTCGATCATCGTGGAGTCCAGGGCCGTTTGACTACGCTGCTCGGGAGGTCGAGAAGCGGACGAAAGCTCCGCCGCTACGCCTCTAACCGCGGCTACATCTGGAGGCGGACACGGGAGCGCCCGGATAGACGGCGAGGCCGACGGGCTCTGACAGGACATCGGAGCACGAAAGTGGGAGCTCTTGGCGGGCGGTGGATATCGGGGGTTCCGGTTATCGGAGGAAAGCCTGGAGGAGTACGATACGGGCGACCGCACCGGTGAGCCGAGTGCAGTTCGGAAGTGATGGCCGATGTTCGTGGAAGCTTCGAATTTAGCAGGAGGAGCGCGGCAGGCGGTTTAGAAAATGATCATTGTAAGAAGAACCTTTTTGCGCGGTCTCTTTCGATCATCGTGGAGTCCAGGGCCCCGGCTCGTCGTAGAACCTACTGTTGGGATGTGACGCGGAGCGAGCGAGAGGCGGAGGTGGAAGGTGGGAATCATTCCCACGTTTTTGTCGATGTGGGAATTTCCGCATTTGCGCATTTCCGCAATTTCGCAGTTGCGAGTTTACCTGCGAGGGTGCATGGTTCCGGGCACGCAGAGGGGAAGGGGTCTTGGCAGTTCGATCCATGAGCGATGGGACTTCGCATCCAAATCACCTCCTCCTCCTGCTGGTCCGCTGCAGGAGCAGGGAAGGGCCGTCCCGGCTCCTTCTCCGTCTAAACGCCACGTAATTCAGGGGACAGGCCTAATAATTTCGGAAAACTGATTTGTGCCTGTCCTTCTCGTCCACCGCAAGCGTAGTCCTGCCTCGCCCTCGCCTGTACAGTCCGGTGCCTCCGTTCTATATCCATTTTACTGTCAATTCTGCGATGGATCCGATCCGTTTGGAGGTTATTTGTCGCGGCGTGCTCCTTCCGGAATTACGCGCGTAGCCAAAGGCCAACCTCTGGCAAATAAGGCTGAAGATTTTAGTCTGTTTGCAAGAACTGGCAGGCATTTGATTCTCGATCCTCGGATCGATCGAACGACCTAGAAACCCCATTGTCTTTTTGCAACCCCATCGTCTTTTGGTCGTTACCCGTTCATCGCCTTAACTTACTTTTGCAGATAATCTTCGTGGGAGAATGTTGTATGGCCCTGCTGAAAGATTTTTCCGAGTCTACCTAACAACTGCATGAACGAGATCTAGATTACCGGTACTGGATACACAAATCTGGATGGAATGATCAATAGTATGTGCGCCTCTGTAGAAATTCAGATTTCGGGAGCCCATTATCATCTTGTGCCATGATCAAAGACTCGGAGTGATGCTTGAGTAGATTCCTTGGTCCACCACCAGATCTACAGCATCAACAAGCTCATGGCCAAGGCAAAGCCTCCTTTCATATGAAAAGTGAGGGCTTCTCAAACGACATGAAACCCTCATGGCTAACGTTATTGGTCCTCTAATTTCAGACGATTATTTGACTCAATCGTTGGATGTCGCGCAAATCTAGGCAGAGAAACTTTTTCTCTTCTTCCAGAGGCAGGTGGATCCGAAAAGATATATCGTCCTTACGTGGAACATGATTTTCTTTCTCTATGCGAGCACCACATGAAGAAAGGAAAGCACGAACCGCTCGATTGGTGCGGGCTAATGCGAATAAGTCAATTCAAGCTCGTATTTCTACGAGCTTGAATTGTTTTATTCGTCGAGCTTCCGGAGTCCAACTCGCTTGCGTAAATTCATCACGATGAAGTTTCCTACTTTCTGAGCTTTGTTTGACCAGATTTTGGGTTAACGGCCACTCACAATAATTTTTATGCTTTTTCCAGTGCCTTGCGAAAGGAATATTATGCTTGGCGTCGAAGATTTGCAAGGTACGCGTCTGGTTTGAAAGGCTAGCAGACAACACCACTCTGATACAACTTTTAGGTTATGACATTCGAGTTCCAAAAGTCAGACGTTTGATTTGGCATCTACTGAGTTTACACTGAACGTTTGATTTTATTGATCTGTATGCATTCACGGTTATATGAAGCTCAGATCACAAGCAATTGCTGTAAAGACAACCAAAATTCACTTTGGCTTTTCTCATCCGAATAAGGCTGGATATTTTTAAGACATCAAATTATTCTTTTCCGGAGGTTAGTAAAGAAGTTAAGCTGCACTGACTGCTTCTGGGTCCACCTACAACAAGTCCAGATCCAATGCAAAGTTGCAAACTGTTTTCGCTCTCTCTCCGTCCGACTCTGCTCTCATGCACAAGGAGGAGAGAGAAGCGGCGAGAACGGCAAGATCTTTTTGGGAAACGCACTCCTAGAGCCTATTGATCTTGTATGTTGCAGTCTAGGGGCCAAGCAGCTTTTTGGGTGATAACTTTACACGGCTGACTGTCATTGACACTGGAACAGATCTTCAGCCATCTCTTGCTTTCACGAGTGGTGAATTCATTTAAATTTACTGTTTCACCTCCGTTCATTCCGATTTCTGATGCTTCTGATTTTTCGTTCTTGCATGTAAAATATTTGAGCTACTCACTACCACACTTAATAGTATAATGGATCCACTTACACTTGGTCACCACTGAGGCTGGTGCTGGTAAGAAAAAGATGTTGCTATTTCAGAGATCACATTACCTCTGGAATATGTTCACAAACTTCCCAATCGAAAGCGTTTGAATAGGTCCACTAGACATATGAAGAAAAGAGTGTGGACCATCTCACATGATCGAAGTTCGGTCCACTTTGTACCTTTACATAGATCCCACCCTTTAATTGACTGACTGTTGGATGCAATGTGCCACCAATCTCGATTCCACGCACCATGCATTACATGCTTTTTTCGTTATAAAGTTCAACTTTCATACTTCCTAACAAATCAAGATTTTTAACAAACCTTTTTTTCGGTTTATGATCTGTATCAAATGCCTTATGAAATTTTGCAACGGGGTTTGAAATCTAAGATGCTTCCCTATACTCTTGAAAGAATATTATTAAAGATAGCCTCACTTCTTGCCTTGCTTGATTGTTGAAGTCAAAATAGATGCGATTGCAATGGGTGACTATGTGAAGAAATGGAATCATACCTCAGGAGTGATGTACTTGTGTTGAAATGCAGGAGCAAAAGAGAGAAAAATTGGATAATATATTGGTGAACATTCTATAACAAGTATCTGTAGACGAATCTAAAGGTTGTGTATACTCTAAGAACCTAGTCTTGTCTTTTACTATCATCATACGGGACACAAAAAGGATGATTTTGTGGACGAATCTAAAGGTTGTGTATACTCTAAGAACCTAGTCTTGTCTTTTACTATCATCATACGGGACACAAAAAGGATGATTTTGTGGAAATGAACTCCACGTGAATGTAACTGAAAGATCGTACTTCTCAAAATAAGAAATAATGTTTTATTTAGTGGTATGGAAATTTCAAAGATCCAAAAGTCGACACACATCCGGATGATCCAGTTTTATACATGTATGAAGGAATATGAATGTTCACTCGAGAAAATGGAGAAGTAACTGAAAACTTGAAGATTTGTTGTTATTCTTGTTATTCATGATTGAACGGAGTAGAATTTCTTTGTTTGCTAGTATTGCTACAATTGTCCCAGATTATTAGGAACTTCGTATCGATGACTTCTGTCAAATCGCATGAATAATTCATATAAATTTCTTCGACTCTTGAGCACTCAAAGTCAATGGCAGTAAAATATTGATTCACATACCTTCAATTATAGCAAATATATTTATGTAGGCGAGGGTAGCTGGTTACTCATTTGATTCCGCATCCTGCCGGACGTCTTCTCAACATTGGGCATCTGAAACTCTTGGAAACTGTGTCAAGGAGTGTAGATTATTCATGTAAGGAGAATTTCTTCGTTTCTTGCTGCAGGTAACTCCGTCTTTCACCTTCCATTCTGTTTCTGTTTAGGATTTTGAGTCCTTTGAAGATTGTAAGGGCTCTCTGGATGACGTCGGGATCATGCGAAGGGGGAATCGAAAGATGGAGAAAAAATAGGAGATTTCGTGAGCTGGTTTCGTCCTACACTTGTCCTGTGTGAGAAGAGACATAAAATCTCGAAATAAGTTGCCGTTGATATCCAGTCTCCACCAGAAGAATGAAGAGGTCCTTTACAGTGCTTCAGTGCTTCCGTGCTTCAGTTTGCTGTAAACATGCATTGACCGAACAAGT